TTTTTCGATCTGTACATTGGAGCGAGTAGGTTTTCCTATATTTATTTCCTAGTACAGATGCGAACGGATAAGAATTTCCTTTGATAATTGTTAAGCTAATTTTCTGTAAAAGGCAGTTGAATGTTTACTTTAGACATTTGTCATCGTTGTTCTTTCAACCTTTTGAACTATTACGTCAGACCACCATTTACAAAATTTACAAGTCATAATTATTTTTCTGATTCCAATTTAATGTGTATACTTCATCTTTTGAATATTTTATTTTTCTGAGTGTACTCAAAATTTAAATTGCATTCCCGATCAAAATCATGTGACAAATACTGTGTATAATATTTTATAATGTTTTTATGCGTATATTTTCTGAATTTCTTTTACATACTTACGCACCTCTATTTTTGAAGTCTATTACTTTGGAAGTTTTTGATAGTATCCTCTTTTTGAATTCATTATAACTTTCTTCGAGAGCACAGACTTACATTGATTTTTGGTTCAAACTTTTGATGTTTGTTCACATATTTTTGAGTGGTTTTGAACTTTGACAGTATTTTGTAGTCTGGATAGTTACATAGATTCGTTGCGATGTATGCCTTTGAGGGTCTTGTACTATCCACAGTTTCTTTAATTGAAGGTGTTTTCTTCATATGCATTTTATTTTCTTCTTGAGACTTGTCATATATGCTTTCCGCCTAGTTGCAAATCTGTGCGTATTGATAAACTCTTGAAACCTCTGGCGTATAAGCAAAACTCACTTTTGATACAGTAATTTATGTCTCAGTTCAATTCAATCAGTTCAATTTGATTTGATTCTTCTATCCTCTAGCCATGCCATGATCGACACACAGCTACACGGCTGTAGATGTCTTCATGCCACCGACTGAGCTACCGGAAGCTAATGGTAACCCCGTTTCTGTGATTGTGCAGAAAAGTTGGAATCTTCATTGCATTCCATCTTTACTGGACTCTTTGCGGAACGGAAGCTTTACAATATTGCAAAATGATACAATACACGGTAATTCCTACTGCCAATTCAAAGGATGCTCCTATTAAGGTTAGCTAAGACTCCTATTTCTTCAAATACAATTTCTACTTGAATAATAAATGTGAAAAATCACATTTGCCTAGTAACTTGGTTGTTTTTGTTTGATCTCATAGTGACAGATCAAGTGTCAAGATTCCTTAATAGCCGTACGCAGCGGTTTTGTATAGTGATTTAGATCTTCCATATGGCGGATAGCCCAATCTTGTGAACGGAAATGTCTCAATACAGTCCGAGGGAGTATGCTCAAATGTATCTTATTTATGGTGAGTGTGGTGGTAATGCCAGTCAAGCTGCAGAATAAGAGCCAATCCTGATTTTTTCGACCACATCTTGTGGAGTGACGAGTCAACTTGTACAAAAATTGGATATGTAAAATTGCATAACTTGGCAGCTCATCAATCCCCATTTAGTAAGAGAAGGTAAGTCGTAATATCAATTTAAAATAAATCATTGAACTGGTATTTTAAACGGACACATTATAGAGCCATTTGAATTACCAGCGGCTTGACTGCAGAGAGCTACTTCAGTTTTTTTAGGTGATTATCTACCGACTTTATTTGAAAACGTTCCACTAGAGCAAATAATGAGAATGTGCCCTGCTCATGATACCCAAAATGTGCCAGAGAACCTCAACGAAATGTATCCACGTTGCATCGGGCGCTTGGGAGCAATTTTGTGGCCACCAAGGTCACCAGACCTCAACCCTCTCGACTTCTCTTACTGAGTGTGTCTTAAGGAGACGGTCTACAAGAAGCCCATTAGTTCAGTGGAAGAGCTAGGTGCGTGGATACAAACAGCTGTGACAGAAATCAACGAAGCCGGATACACACGCAAAATCAGGCATTTATAAAAACATGCAGCGCCTGTATCAGAGCTCGTTGTGGTTATTTTGAGCACTTAGTGTAACTTCTAATAATATGTTTATATCTAGCGAGTTTTCTGTTCTATTATCTTATTTTAATGAGTTCTTACACCATGAAGTTAATATCTTGCGTTAAATTCTTATCAATCTGGTAGATTTAAACTGCAACATTACTAATACGTCTTGTAGACGTTGTAATAAATCTGAATATTTTGCGATCATTTTTCTAATTTTGATACGCTCTTTTGTTATGCCTCTAAATCAACAACTTGAGTTAGACTTTCTTTGGAAAAGTAGGCGTATCAGCTATTCCAATAGGAGTATCCTTTGAATTGACAGCAGAAAATACGGTGTATTGTATCATTTTGCAATCTCATTGAATTAGGCAAATTATTCACGTTTTGTTTCACTGGATTACCACGATATTAGTGACACCACACGTGTCCAAACTTGAAAGAAAAAAATCAATTTTTTTCCGAGTTTTAATGATTTTTTAAAAAAAGCAGTTAAACCTGTGGCACGGAAATGGCAATTTACATTTAATGACACATGTATCCAAGAATACTTATGTTGAAAAAAGACTGAGGTAAAACCTTCATGTGTTATCACGGGACTTAAAAAGGTGAGTGAAGGAACTAATTTCCTCCAAATTTGAAAAACGCCAAAAAAACCGTGCAACTTTTACCAGACACAATTTTCAATTTTTTGAATCGTTATGATGTCCTCTAACTATAGGTTAAAGGTTATCCAACACCCTGTATATTCCATTTCTATGTTTCTTAATCTAGATTCCATGTCAGCTACTACATCTATCTTCTTTAAAGGCAAAAAATCATTGGCTCGATCTCACACCATTCCATACGTTTTTTGTTATCTAAGGACAAGAACCGGACACTCATGCATGATTCCTTCTATGTGTCCACCCTAATTTGACTGCTGGGCAGATAGATACTATGTTACCCAAAAGCCTTGCAAGCATTTTAATCAACCAGTGCAAAAACGTTGTAAGTCCCAAAATTTAAATTTTTCAGGAGAATAAAAACTCAGTCACACAATGCTTTTTTGGGTATAATAGGTATTTAGGTTACAAAAGATTGAAATTTTGAATAACCTTCACAACTTATTATTAATATTAATAATGGAAAAACCTCGAAAAACTGTTATGGAGTTACGTTGTTTTAGCAGGAAATAGATTCAGCGAAATATAGCAATATTTCAAATATATGAATCATATTTTTCGTTGCTTATTCCAGATTTGTTTTAAGGTAAATAGGGGAAACCCGGTCAAAGCGAACACTTGGGAAAGTCGAATTAGTCGTTTTAAATCTAATTCTAAACCATCAATCGACTATCGTGAAAGAACACATAGACTTATTAGATCGACTTTCTTCAATAATCGGCAATCGGTTGTTCTTTATATTATCTTTCAGAACAGCTATAAAATATTTAGCTGGTATTTAAATGGCCTCTTCAGACAGAGGATTGAGTCAATGGTTTTCTTAGGAAACAAAAAATCTCTCTGATTTTGGGCAAAGCGGATAAAACTTGTAATCTTATTTTTGTAATAAGTGAATATTGAAAGATTGATATTTTGATGCAATAGCACATAAACATGAACATATTTTTCATTACTTATTATTGAAAATTACACTTGAATATTGAGTTATTACGATGCCACATGTTTTTGAATGCTTTAATATTTTTGAGGAATATAGGGAAAACCCGGGCAAAGCAAACACATGGAAAAGTCAAAATTCATAAGCTTATTCGTTCAACTCCAATAATCCGCAATCGGTGTAGATGAATCCTAATGCTTATGTGACTATCAGGCATCAAAATGTATTATTTTAATCACCACCGGATCATGTATTTGTTAATTAATTCATCTTTATTTATTTATTGAGTGATATTATATTATTTTTTTTGCCTTACAGCAAATTAAGTACTTTTTGCTTATTTTTTTTTAACGAGAAAATTGATCTTCCAAGATAGGTATTGTGCTTGTAAACCCATCTTTATAAAGTATATATGAGCAGGGATTTAAAATATTTAGCGTATCTCTAAGGTACCTTTTCAGTAATTCAACTGAGGAGAATTGAGTCAGTTGTTTTGGTAAGAAACAAGGAAAGCTTCAAAGAAGTGATTTCGGGCAGAGCGGATGAAGCCCGTAACCTTATTTTTGTAATTAGTGAATGTTAAAATTGATATTTTGGTTAACATAGCACATAAATATGAAAATAAGACAATACAGGGATACTGATGTTGTCTTTGAAATGACCCATTCATGTAGCGGCCGTCGAGTAGTGCATGCTAAAACATTTTATTGATAATAATGGTGAAAACCAGAAAAGCTGTTATGGAATTACGTTGTTTTAGCAGCACATAGAGTTACTGGCACGTAACTAAAGCAAAACAATCATATACTCGTACATTTGTATTTTTTATCATTGAGTCGTCACATTCTCATGGATACGCTGTCAAAAACAAATCGAAAATACCTTACTGACTAGGTGTATACGTTTTTTTGTTCAATAATGCTGAAATCGAGTGATAAGAGTCTGTCTAGCTAGAAGAATATTTTCTTGGCATTCCTTCGTCCAGATATATTTTTTTAAATACAAAAAAAGTTGCCAAGTCAAATGGTAGATAAGTGAAACGATATGATTTTCCTTTGTATTTGAATTTCAAATATTTTCTGCTAGATACATGGGTAGGTAATAAAAATTAACCAGACTTCTTTGACTAGGTTTTTGATTGTTCTGTGGTCCTTCATTTTAAAGTGAGGAACAGAAACGAATTTGTACAACTGCTTCAGTTCAAAATAAATCCATGTTCACCATTTGGCTTTGGTGTAGAAAGTATGGTGAGAAAAACTCCTCAGCACGATAGAGATCTCACCACAGCTCCTATTTCCAACAGACAGTCTAAGGCATTAGTAAAATGTACTGAGGGGAACTCACTAACATAATTTTCCTTTTCTGGAGACTTTGTTCAAATAGGATTTTGTAGCCCTGAGCTCAACTAAGTATTATACGTTTTTGTCAGTTGCGACAATCATCCAATTTGTAAAAAACCTAAATCTGGCTGCATGTTTTACCTCTAATTCCTTAGTTTCTTCTCTCGTAACGCTGGTAGGATCCCTTCGCCTTCTTGTGCGGTGACTTTCGATATGGTTGGCTCCTCTTGCTGCACCGCAGAGCCTTGCAGTTTGGTGGGAACTTCCATTTTTCTATGAGCTCCAGTCTGGTATCCCTCTCCACAACCTGCGTTGAGTAGCTGATGTATATTGAAGCTATGCCTGCTGCGATATCCGGACCTTCTATGAATTGCCAGCGTCATGAGGACAGGCTATCACCTGTAAAAAAACATGTCTTTCTGATTCCATGTAATTTTCACTGAATCCTGTACGGTGATATGGTGAGGGTTTTGGAGTGAAACCAACAAGAAGCTACATAAAAAAACATGTAGACATTGTGCTAAAATAACCAGCAGAAAATGTAATAATCTAATAATATGTCCATTTTCGAAGTGAAAATGTAACTTGACATCTGCTTGCATGTTTGGAGTGAAAAATCCAGTTGAGTTTTTTGGTTGGTTCCAGGTGAAGCAGCCTAATCAGTAATCTGTAGATACAGTACGAACTGGTTCAAAGTGAAAGCCAATACGTGTTGGCATGTTCAAAATAAAATTTCATCTCTAACCACTAAGGCATATATTTAAACTTACTGCTTGATGACGATATTTCCTGTATTTTCCGCTCCAGTTTTGTCATTTTCTTCTTCAGGAATCTCAACAAGCTGTTTCTTATTTCTTCCAGCACCATACACTTCGAGTGTAAGAACTATAATGGCGAATTGGGAACAGTACAGATATCAGGTAAGCTATGTGGCTGTGGCATGCCCAAGGACGTCTATACTGGTGGCCATACAGAATTCTTTTTCAACTTTCCGTACAAAAAAATTAGCAAGAACCATACTATATTTGTGACCTTGAGGACATGAACATCGAAGTAAAATTACAACTATCTAGACCTACACTCGAGACAAGGGCAGCTAAAGTATGCCGGAAGAAAGAGAGTTCCTCTGAGAACGCACAACACCTTGCAGGCAGCAGCGGTGGCGGCAGTAGTAGACTCTTCGGTCTCCTGATCAGTCGCCGTGCGCTGTGCGGGTTCGAGTCCCGTCCCAGGAGAAATTTTTCTCTTGGCTATGGATGTTGTGATGGTCCGTAGGTGGTAGACGGTCTCTGACTGTCGAACGTGGAAGTACCACCCGGCGGATCTCGTAGGCGGAGCCAGAATGTTTGCATGTTGCATGCACACGTGTTCCCTCGCCAGAGTCCGTGTGGCGTCCCCCCTTTCCCCTGTATCCCCCTATAGCCCCACGGTACCCAATGGGTGTTTAGGCCTTAGGCCTTCGTGGTAGTTGGAGTATAAAAAAAACTAGAATGCCAGCTAAAAGTAACCATTCCAGAGTCTATAAAAAGGGTTTTGAAAATGAATGGATTTGATGATGACCGACTACTACCTGAGCTTTCGGACGAAGATATAGTGGAAATTGAAAAGTTTACTAGAGAAGTAATGCCTTTCGTGATTTCCGAGGATGAACGTGAGGACTTTTTCGGCGTATTCTGCTTGCATTCTACAAATTTTTAGTTTGTATCAGAACATAGGAGACGTCTATATACAATATCAAAATACTTTGGAGACAAGCTGGTAGAGACACCACAACCAACAAGCTTAGAAAAAGAGTACACCTAGCAAGCGTGAGTTAATGCGTCTAGGACCTAAAGGTTACAGCGACTGGCTAACCATAGATAACATAACGGGAGACAATGAAAATTTGAAACACGCTTTATTTTTTGGCAAACAAAGATATCGCTCCAAGATTGGGACATGTTTAGTTAGTCAATAAGAGACATTTCTGGAAAGGTGAATGGGTTATCTCTCCCATCCAGTTTAACCGGAAGGACTTTTTCACATGGTGACCTGTATATTTTCATCCATGATCGTACTCTATGCAAAATTCCTTTTCTAACGATGTGTCACAAGTGACATTTTCGTTTTGAAATGACGGCGCTGTAAAGGAATTTGTGAATAACCTAAAATACGCCACATTGCTTACAAGACAAAAAAATATGTTAAACTGTCAAGGTGGCATCATCAACAAATGTCTATGAAAATGGGGCAAATAAATGAAATCTTATAATTATGTGTCTTTCCTGTTAGTATACTTATTTGAAAAAAAAATAAATCAGGAATCCACATCTTCAACACAGGATTTCTAATAGATTTTAAATAGGACCCTGTATACCTTTCCCAGAAATCTAATTGTACGAAAAGTTCCCTATTCAATGATATATAACAATTGTACCTTTGTTGTCAAATGACAGCTGCATAAAAGAATTTCTGAATTAACCTCCATAAGCTATAGGTACTGCAAAATAAAAAGTAGGTTTGTTTTTATGCATGGAATCGTAAAGCTTGAATTAAGACGAGTATTATTATTACTGTTATTATTATTATTTTAATGTGAGCAGCAGAACAAACCTTGTTATGATACTGCCCATCCCCCAAGAAACATTGAAAGAAATAATGTCCTGCTTGGAGAACTGAATATTGAGTCCGAAACAGTCGATACACTGATGTTATGGGCATCACGTGGAGTGGATCATTTCGGAATAAAATAATCCAATAACTTGAATGCGGCCAATTGTGCACGTGGGGTGTGCGATCCCTAACTGAATCATACGCGGGGCTCGGCAACCCGAGCGAAAATAAGGGACACGCAGAATATTGGTTGGCAGTGGGCCGGATTGGAAATAAAAAATAGATCAGAGGAAATAAGTTTATCGCTCAACATTTTCCTCGGCGTGACGTAAATATTCTGCGATGCATGATTTAAATATAATAATAATAACAACCTCTATATAAGATGAGAATACTATACATCCATGGTCCTGGAGGTACTGTCTAAGATGAAGATAAGATATATGTGGTAGACGATTGCCGTTGAACTAGGAGGTGCCGCCTACGAATTTCGGTGGTGGATATTTCACATGCACATGTGTTCCCAGATAGCTTGCGTAACATCTGCCATTTCCTAAACCTCTAGGGTACCCAACGGTGGTTGGGCTGTAGGTCCTTATTCTACCGCACCTCTACCGTACCGTTGCCGTAACCCAGAACCTAAATCATGCGCTCGACGTTAAACTGTTTATAAACAGGAATACGGCAACGCTAGAAGTTTTAACTTTCTGCTGTTGCCGCTCCCGATTCAATCAATGAAACTTTATTTAATAGTCAATATATTTTATTAATTGAAATATATATTGTTAATTTATTTAAATAATGATATGAATTATCAGATGTGTGTTACAAGTGATGAAGACCCTGCATCTGATCTGCGGAAAACTGTGGTCTTCAAGGCAGTTGAAAATCGGATTGACAAAGTTTCTGAAAGCTTCTCATGGAAGCCGCGGTGCGCTGGTATTTAGGCTTCTGCCTGCGCGGCTGCTCCAGTATAAAAGAAGATTTGTATCGCTGCAAAACTTTTCAAACATACTAAAGACGGCCAACTGGCAGCTGGTTCGTGCTTTTTGGCAACTCACCAGGTAGGACAACGGAAGAAAGCACAACGACTGTCTATCTGAGATATCAGATTTATCGGAATATGGCGACACAAAGTGCCATCTAATACCAAAATCGACAAAACACTCAAGGGCAAATAAAGCTTATATGTTGTAAGTAAGAGCAGCTTTGTACCTCTGACGATTGGTACCAAGCTTGGTTTTGATAGTGAACGCACTTGGCTTAGATCATTAAATGTACCTCGACCAGGTTCATCCTCAAGCTTTAGGTGTGGCTTGAATGTGTTTGGCGTTGAATTAGTTTCGCATTTTGCGTTAAATGTACCCGTAAGAGTTAATTGCGTGCATGTTCAAATAAGTTCAAGATCAAGGGTTACCTTGCTGTGATCCTACGAGTTACATAAATTGAAACATTTCTAGACAATAAGTAAAACCTGTTTAAGCGAAATGTATATAATTGGTAAAGCTTCTTCTTCAAAATGAAGTTGTGAGCTTACCACTTCAAATATAAAATCAATCTCCTTCTTTTGATTCTCTATAGTGCTGGAATTTTGCTATGCCATTTGGTTTCGAAGCTAAAGTCTTACAAAGTCATACTTCGGCGGAAGCTTTAATTTTTCACCTAACTGGTCTAGACGACAATGACCACGTCTCAAGTTACATCCACAGATTTGGGGTTTTTCAATACCATCACGGAACGTCATGGGAACCAGGCAATAAGAATGATGAAGGACTGGATCAAGGGCAGAAAACGACTGGCACAGGAGATCAATCGACGGATTTTCGTATTAAAATGTAGAAAACATGGCATTACACCACATCACATCACCCACCGCTTAACATCAATCACACACATACTAGAAAGCCATTCAATAGAAGATGGGATGAAAAATCGTCTGCACAGGTTAGGTGACAAAATACTCACATTTGAGATATCTTCCTGCCACAGACAGTTGAAAAAACTTCATTCCATGCTCAATTCACTCCAAAGTGACATAATTTCTTCCACTTCTCCCCTAATTTTTGATAATTTCAAATATAGACCACTCAGACATTACAATAAAATCTTTCATAACATAAAAAACTCTAATATTCGTAGGTTTGACAGATTGTTGAATGACACCAGAAAAACCTTGCTCAACATTCAACAAAATTGGATAAAAAATCACAGTAATGTTGACATCCCTCATGACATTTTAAAATTTATTTCCCTAGGGCCTAAGTTCAGTGTAGAGCCGATTGTTAACAATGACATTCTAATTAGATCAATCCTAGCTGATGTAGACACAATAGCATCCTCCATAAGTGATGACACTGAAAGAAACATTTTCACAACTCGTTCCACTAACCTCATCACTAACTATTATCATAGTAACAATCTTAATAAAAAGCATTCCTTTTTAAACAAAATTAGAACATTTCTAAAACAACATTCTGAACTTATGGTTACAAGATCTGACAAAGGCAATGTTACAGTGATAATGCTTAAACAACACAATTTAGATCTTTGCAACAATCTTATCAATGATGACCCATCATACCATGAAATTAATAGAGATCCCACACTTAAAGTGGAAAAGAAAAGTAATGACATTATTAAGGAACTTCTCAGCACTGGACAAATAACCCAAGAACAAAAAAGAACTTTGACTACTTATAACTCTGTCCCTCCCAAATTCTATGCGCTTCCGAAAATTCACAAACCTGTACTCTCAGTAAGACCTATAGTTGCATCAATAGGTTCAGCCACCCAGGCTTTGTCTCCATTAATATCTTCAACACTAAAATCAGCACATGCAGATAATGATTACTACATCAAAGACTCATTTGAAGTCTCTCGTCAGTTCAACAGATTGCCAATACCAGCCGATCACATTATCGCCAGTCTTGATGTGGTGTCGCTATTCAGCAATATCTATCTGGATGCATGTACAAGAACTATAAATAAACACTGGAATGAGATAAGTCAACACTGCAACATATCTCTAGAATCGTTCACCAACATTATAACATTCCTCTCTCATAACAATTATTTCTCTTTCCGTCCTCACTATAAACTGCATTTTTCCAAACATGAAAGACAGAGTCCCGCTGCTTGGCTTAACCAACACAGTCTACTCCATCAATTGCAACAACTGCAACCAAATATACATAGGTCAGACCTCCAGATCTCTTAAAGGAAGGATTACATCACACAAAAGTGATTCTAGGCTACATCCTGAAAGATGCGTTCTAGCATCTCATGTTAACACAACAGGGCACACTCTATGAATTACACAAGTATCAAAGTTCTTGATAAAGAAAAAC